ATTGAGCAATGTTTCAGTGAGGCCTACAAGCAAACATGCCACATTTGAACATAAAGCATAATAGAAGACCTTTAGTGTCTTGGGTAGGCAGTCAGGAGTAAGGGTACAGAATTTTTTCTCTAACAGCTGGTATAAAGGGTTTCTTGGGGACAGAGGAAGTGACCTCATTTTTAAGTGATTTGGGGGAGACTGAACCTGTGAATCAGGAAAACAGAACTGGAAAGGACCTCAGGAGGTCTAGTCCAACTCTGCAGGACAAGCCATGTCTAAAATAGCCCATCCACATGATTTTCTAACCCGCATTTAATCTTCCAATGATGGAAATTAGAAAATTGAAAATCTCCTTTGTTGCAATCTAGACTGGTTACTTCATGTCCTGTCCTAGTGTGCAGAGAGAACAGTTGATAACCATCGTCTTCATGACCAGTCCATCTATTTGAGATCTGAAGTAATGAGCACCCTCAGGGCATAGGCACTCAAGGTTTAGGACAGTTTAAATGCAGTTTAAACCTGAAGTGGACAGACATACGAATCTGTTAAACTAGTTTAACTCCACCTAGAATGGTTGAAATCTGGAAAATCAAGTATTATTTTGAACCAGCTCACTGTGAACAGTTTCAGTATTATGCATAGACACCAAACATTCTGTAACCTGGGTCTGGTTGGTCCTCCAGACATCTCATGCTGCACTTCTCCTCATCGTTTCCTCCCTCCCTCCCTCCCTCCCTCCCACACACACACACTCTCTCTCTCTCTCTCTCTCTCTCTCTCTCCCCCTCTCTGCTGCAACTGGCCCCTAGTATACAGCCAGAACTTGACTGCTGCCTTTTTCCCTTTTTGTTGGAACTATTTAATTAATGAGCTCCCTTGCACTGCCTATTCAATAAAGCTTTCTTTCTAACTATCCACTAAGTCTTCACTCTCTATGCAACTGCAGCCTCTCATCATGTGTCCCCCCACAGTCCCTGGGAACCAAGCAATTCCTCCTTCTCTTTTCTGAGTCAGACAAGCACACTGCAGACTTTGGTCATTTGCAGGCTACTGAAGTTTATTGAACTCATGTTTAGTAAAAAAGGGATAGCAGGAAAGTGGAAATATCCCAGTCACAGATCATCCACCCCTGGAACTCCCAAAGTATGAGAGCAAACACTCCCCTCCCATAGCGTTCACACAATTGTGAATCAGTTTTTAGTTGTGGACATTTTGGAACAGTTCAATGATTGCCTGTCTGCACCCTTGGTTTTCACAAAGTTACTACAAAAAAAAGGTTCAGTGCTCTGCCTTAGGGGATTTTTAATGGCCTTTAGATGAGAAGCAGATAAATCTGAAAAGGCTTTTGACAAGTCCATTCACAGCACCTGATGAAGTGGCTGTAATCTTAAGAAAGCTCATGCCTCTGAACAAGGAAATTAATAAGATTCCACATGTCCCTCTCATCTGCCTGACTCCAGGCTAATACAGCTAACCACCTCACTCAAGGTTCTTGATATCCTACTTTATTTGATGTGTCCAGAAAAAATGTTGTCACACATTGGTAGAAGCTAGTCTTCTAGACCAAGTGCTAGCACAGGCCAAATGGCTCTTCAGTATAGCAGACAGTCCAGCAGCTTGGCACTGCTAATGATCTAGGACAGGGGTGTCAAAATCAAAGGAGTGAACAAGCTGGTTCTGGACTACAGGGCTCCTCATGGGCCAGACAACCCACCTCCGGAACCAGGCTGCCAGAAACACTGTGTCAGTGTGGCCAGCATAGGGGGGTTAATGCCCCCCACTACTCACTACCCTGCCACTGATTTGCATGTAAAATGGTAATCAAAAGCCAAAAATATGATGGTTGATAAGGAAGGGGTGCTAGTCTTGCCCACACATTGCCTCTGGGAGCCATTGCAAGAAGTGTGCCATATTTATGTAAGTGTGTTGTATGGCCAAAGAGAAGCCCTGCGGGCCAGATGACTCACCTCTGCAGGCCAGATCCAACCCATGGGGTTTATGTTTGACATCCCTGGCAAGGATGCTGGGATGGATTTGACTTAGAACCAAAAGTTTCTATGTCGTATTTTTAGTCCTCAAAGTTATCTTATACCACTTGTTCATGCAGCATTGTAACACTGTAGTGAACAGCTGCTGCTTCTTCCTTTTCCATATTGGGAGAAAAAAAAGCAGCAAGAATCCCAAACCCAGAGAATTCAAGCCTTTTAAGGGACTATGAACAAGCATACCATGTCATAGTACATCAATGGAGTTCTTAGTAATACATATGAAGGATACTGTTAAATAGGTGGGGCTCTACTATTTCTATGTTCCTAGTGCTCTTAATTTAATGTAGCTTGATATTCATCTCATAAAGTAGCTGGGACCTGATTTGTTTCAAAATTCCAAATAAAGTTCCTATGTCATTGAAGTAACATTCCTTTTTAAGAAGTAACAGCTTGTTCACTCCTACAAGCCCCAAAGCTGTCCTTTATTGTAGCACATTGGGCACATCTACACATGCATATTAACGTGATGCAATAAACTCTGGTACTTATCACACTGGAGTTTATTGCTCCTGAGCACAGTCTACATGTGCGCCCTGGACCACAACACATTCAGCTGGCAGGGAGGCTAGGGGCCAGCCTGCCAGCCCAGGACCGCTCCCCTGGCTCAGTGTGATGCAGAGGGGCTGGCTGGGACATGAGGGTCCTCCAGTGCAGGGCAAGCCGGCAGGCAGCTCCCATACAGAAGGATCCTCATTCCCCAGCAAGCTGCAGCAACATCTATATGTGCACTGCTTTGGAAAACTCTACAGCAGGATATATCTTATATATTTACAAGTACTATCCTGTTGCAGAGTTAATTAGTTTACTCCAGCCTAATAAGGCCTCATATGTAGATGCACAATGTTTACTGCAGAGCTAATTAGTCTACTCCACAGTAAATGTCTCATGTAGACATACCCACTGAGTTGCAAACAGCTCTTCTGAAAAGATCCAGGCTGTAAGGGCAATTCCTTCTAATTGCATGGGCTCCTTAGTTTGCAGCCACCTCCAGTAGCATGGGCTGCTTTCATGATTAACATTTGCAGCATGGCTTTTTCTGCAAGGAGCTGGGTTGTGTTTTAATATCCACACAGGAGGGTCAGGATACCCATGCTGCATAATACTCGCAGTGTGTGTGTGATCTAACTTTAAGGGGAATTCCAAGCTGTTCTTGAGAATATATCACAAAGAGAGTTGCTTTAATTGAAAAAACTGGCTACTACATGAAACACATTGTCTCTGAAAAAGTAATTGTCCTTTCAAAGCTTAATTACTTGATTCTATTTCTTACAATGCTAACTTGTTCATTTTTTTCAAGATATGATCCCTTAAAAATCACATTACAAATTCCAACAGATGGCTGCTGTTCAATGTGTTCACAAAGAATGTATACACTAATACTCAAGAAATTAGAAAATTCAATAACAGCTTCCTCATACTCCCCCATATAGATATAATTCAAAACTGGTGTTATCAAAACAGCAAATAATTTGAAAGAAGTGGTTAGGATGAGCAAAGATTTCTTTATTTCATTTCCTGTTTCCAAATGCATTTAGTAACTGAAAACAATGTGGGTGCCATTTCTGTAACAGTTGCCTACTTATCCTTTTGTTCTAAGGCAGTGATTCTTACCCTTTTTAGTCCCCAGGCACCCCTCAGAAAATGCCAGCTCTTAGTTTTCACTCATTTTGAGTGCAGGATAATAATAAAGCAATTCTTGTTTTGCAAAGATCCCAGAAAGACCACAGCAAGTCAGAAGGTTTTTAACAACATGGATACCTATTAGAAATCTCTGTGTTTATCTTATGAATCATGTTTGCACACCTAATAGCACTAACATGATGTGGCTCCCCACAGCACCCTTGGAAGGATCTCACAGCACTCTGGTGAGAATCACTGCTCTATGGCCTATATTAAACTGTAGGAGAGAAGGAATTGCTGTACTGGATCTGAAGGCAGGATAGATATGCACCTTTTATAGACTAACTAAATAAGATATACAGGGAGCACAAGCTTTTGTGAACACGTATTCACTTTATCAGATGTTTTAACAGGACATGCCAAAAGCAGATTATAGGAAGGAGAGAGAAATTAGGGTAAAAAAGACAAGGGAGCGGGGAGAGAGAGGGATGGAGGTGAAGTGGGAGGGGGAAGGAAGCAGTGCTAGGAGAGAAAAGCAAAGGAGCAGCGAGCCCGTAGGAACAAAGGGGGTAACAAAAGAGAATCCAATCCTTAGTCTCTGTTTAAACCACAGTCCAGTCTGTGGATTTTTTTTCCTGTTCTGCAGTTTCCCATTCAAGCTGGTTTTTAAAATTTTTTTTGCCTGAGAACAGCAATTCTGAGGTCAGTTTTGGAGTGTCCAGGGAGGCTGAAGTGTTCTGCCACAAGCTTTTGTTTCTTTCTGCAGTTGGTATGAGATCCATGTTCATTTATTCTCTCACACAGAGATTGCTCTATCTGATGTGGACAACAGAGGGGCATTGTAAGCAGGTGATGGTATATATGATGTTGGTAGAGTTGCAGATGAATGGACCTTGAAGGATTTTTTTCCTTGTTATTAGGTCCATTAGTGATATAGGGACATTTGGGTCCACTGCAAGACCAGGTGCCTTGGTGAGGATGGGAGTTCATTAGTCTGTTGTTTGAGAGATGCCATTTGAGATTTGACAGGGGGGGAGGGGAAGTGGGGAGCTGTCTGTAAACCAGGGCAGGTTGGTGCCCCAGGACAGTGGTTCATCTAATCCAAAATCCTGTCTCTGCTGATGGCCAAATGAAGCTGTTTCAGGGGAAGTGCAAAAGGCACTATCTCCCAAATGTAATTTTTTGGAGTACAAAAATTATAATGCCCCCACCACCAAATGCTGAACATCTGTTAGTTTAGATGATGCTGAAACTTAAAGCGCTTTGTGTAAAGCACAAAGTTTCAGTGACATTGAGGTGCCTTTCTGTAACTTCTGTAAGGACCCCCAGAGTGTAAGACTATTTTTTTCTAAGGATTGCATACACATGGCATTTACCAAAAAGTGAGCGCATGTCTATTATCACAGCAAAAGTCTTTATTTACATAAGTAACTTGGTATGTATATCTACTTTTTCAATATACAAATAGCCATCAGTATAAGCAAATGCAGATTTTTGTGTGGGTATTAGTACGTGCATCTTACTTTGAAATCTTACAATGACAGCAGGAGACGGATAAGCGGGAACAGCAGAAACAGTGTGCTGTAGACCGAATCAAGAATCCAGAACCACCCACCCTACATGGAAACATGTGCCCTACCTGTAACAGAGCTTGTCAATCCTAAATTGGCCTTGACAGCCATCTTTCAACCCACAGATAAGGCCACCATGGAAGACAGTCAACCTTGACTGTGAGGGATTGCCAGTGATGATGGTATATGCATATGTTTTGTATATTGTCAACACACCAATTATTGCCTTCTTTAAGCCAGTATTCGAACACCTTTTTTCCTTTTTCAGTTGTTTCCATACAAGTCAATATAACTGTGTTAGACACATTTTACAGAACAGCAGAGAATTCCTGTTCCCCAGTAGACTGGGTGTTTGTGGAACTGGTCCGTTCACATCTATCAGCATAGAGAGAAGGACAATACTTAGAGCACTGAATTGAAATGTGCTTTCTGAAAAAGCTATTAAGGTATTTCCTAAATTTCTCTCCAGCAAAGGCATAGATCAAGGGGTTAATACAACAGTGGATCATTGCAATAGATTCTGTTACTTGGATTGCAACCAAAACCTGATTGCTGCTGTAACAGTTATCAAGAGAAACTGCCTTTGGAAAAATGTGTAGAAGAAGAACAATGCTGTATGGTGTCCAGAAGAGAAAATAAACAATCATTATGAGAAAAATAAGCTTGACTGCCTTGTGTTTTTTCTCATTCCTACATCTCAGTAGTGTCCTTATAATTTCGGTGTAGCAGAAGATCATAATGATCAAGGGAACAACAAGTCCCAGGAAGATCCTCTTTAAGGTTAAGAATTGATTCCATTGGCTCTGAGACTGATGTGAAAAATGAAGGCTGCAGGTCAAATCTTGAGAACCATAATATATTACCATTGGGAGAGAGGCCAATGCAGCAACAAACCAAACAGCAAAGCTAGTGAGGCTGCCATAGACAACAGTCCTGGCTTTCAAAGCAAACACTGCATGGACAATTGCTAGGTATCTATCTATTGTCAACAGTATTATAAAAAAGATTCCACTATAAAAGCCCAAGCAATAGATTCCTGAAAGAATTTTACACATTACATCTCCAAAAATCCAATTATGTGCTGCCTGGTATGCCCAGAATGGTAGAGAAAATACAAAAAGCAAATCAGAGATGGCCAAATTTAGCAGGTAGATATCAGTCATGTTTTTCAGTCTCTTGTATTTTATCAGGATCAGAACAACTAATGTATTGCCCACGAGGCCAAAAAGGAGCACCAAAGAATAAAGTGGTGGCAGAAACTGAGAACCAAACTTTTGGGCATCTTCATTTTTGCACGGTGAGTAATCCTCATAGTCAAACGTTGTTGTCATCAACTCTAGGTCTGGGTCAAAGGTAGAAATGTTCATCTTGCAGTGGCCTGAGAAAGCAGCAAGGGAATGTTACTTACAGGAAACTGGATAGTACCACAGCGAAAGAAGTAAAACACAGTGTTTTGTATAATCATGTGTTTCTCAGAGAGATTTAAATATGCTGTGCATGCTAAATTTTGCTGTAGGAAACAGTATAACACAGCCGCTGTCAAGATACAAATGAAGACTGCAGATCACCTAGAAAGTCAGCCTGCTACGTTCAACTTGCGCTAAATTTTGGTTTCCACAGGTAACATTTAGGATTCACAGCCTTCATCTTTGGTAAAAATCATAGTATTGCTAGCCTTGGACACTTTCAAGGGGTCTGTGCCAAATTACAGAAGTGCAGCTAAAGCAGAAGAACTCAAAGTCTATTTTTAGTGACTGAAGAGTAGGGGTGCAATTTTTTGGCCAATACTGATGGCTGATTATTAACTAGCCATATCGGCTGATATCGATCCAATAGCTGATATGCAGCCCAGCAGCTTGGAGACCAGTGTCAGGCTATGTCTGTGAGGGAGAAAGGGGCACAGGGAAGAGAAGGAGTGTGGGGGACCAGATGGAGGCCATCACGGTGATGGAGGGAGTGGGGCTGGGGCAGGGGCAGAGGAAAGGGCAGGCACTGCCCAGCTAGGGCAGGCAGGGGCAGGGCAGGCAGCAGCAGCATTGGGAGTGGTGGCTATGGGGGAGGCTACGGCAAATTTTGGGTTGGCCATAGCCCACCTGGTAGCCCCAGTGCTGCCACCACCCACCCTGCCCCACCTTGCCCTCATCCTCCCCAAGTGCAGCCCTAGCTGAGCGCCCCTGTCAGGTAAAGTCCAGCACAGCCCCTGGCTCCAAGCCTGCAGCAGGCAGCCCACCCTCACCCTGTGCACAATTCCCATACCTCACCAGGGGTGTGCGCAGTGATGGGGAGCGCCCCCCCCGCCCCCTGGACGAGCCACCCACAGCTCCGTCCCACACCCTGCCATGCCCCGGGTGGGCAGGGCCAGCACCAGCACCTATCCCTGCCCCAGCCCCACTCCCTCCCTCACCACCCCAACACATCCCTTCCCTTCCCCATGCCCCTTCCCTCTGACAGACTTATCGGCCAGATGCTGCTCTCCACACTGCTGGGCTGCATTCCTTGCTATGTGTATGCTGTGGCTGCATACATACACACAACATTTATTGGTGACATTATTGGCTACAATGGCCAAAAGAAGCCAATTGCCAATAATGTCAATTTTTCTTTTATGGTTGCTGATCCAATATGGACCAATATATCTGTTCACCTGTACTGAAGAGTTACCTTTTGCAGATATTATAATTAGTCTGTTCAGCATAGTAAAGAAAGCAATCACCATATCCAGCTAAATCAGTAGTGAGATCAAACCAAACAGAGCAAAAGGCTGAAAAGGAGTCATTACACAAAATAATAATCTATACCATATCAGAGCTGTCCAACCTCAGAATGGCCAGGGGCCACATGCTATATGGACCACAGGTTTCATGCTGCAGGGGCTACATGACACATGGGCTCCCTGCCACACTGGAAGGGTAAGTCCTCCCTTCCCTGCACCTTTTGAGCCCCTTCTGGGGCTCCCATGCAGGGTGGGCAAGCTCCCCCACCATATAGGTAGCATTTTCATCAGTCCCTTCTGACTAACTGCCCAGAGCCAGTTCTCTCCAACCAACACTACAGGTGACCCTCGCCATTAGTGGGGGATACGTCCTCATATCCCCCGCGAATGGTGAAATATGCAAATAAGGTACTGCATTCATGAACGCAGTGCCCCTGGTGGCAGGGGGGGAGGGGGAGCACGGCATACTCTAATACCAGGATATAAACAATACAGAAATGATAAGAGTAGGGCCTCTGTACACACTCCAGCCTCCCCTTAATGTGCTCCATGCCTCACAGGTGTTTCCTAGCCTAACAGCTGGCCTCATCATGTTTTCATGGCCTAACAGCCGGCCTTATCATGCTTTCATGGCCTAGCACCCAGCCTCATTATAACCTTAATACACACTGGGCTCCCAGCCCCATCTCTGGGCTTACCAGCCCTGTCCCTGGGCTCTAAGCCCCATCCCCAGGCTCCGAGCCCTGTCCCTGGGCTCCAAGCTTCTCCCTCTGGGCCTACAAGCCCCTCACACCAGGCTCTAAGCCCCTCACTATGGGACTAGGCTCCAAGCTCCATTCCCCCCTGGAGCCTAACTGCCAGTTCCCTAATGCAACCACAGGCTCCACTGCAAGACCGGGCACTGCCACAGGTTATTCCACTGACCTGGGCCCTGCCTTAGTGCTCACAGTGAGCCTGGGCTCCCCCTGTCCTGATCAAACTACCCACCAGGGATATGGGGGCTGGGGTTATCAGGTGCCCCTACCTGCCTTTCACGAGGGAGGTAACTGGCCCGGCATTTCTGGGGAGCTACCCCACCACAGGTAGCTCCATCTCCACTCAGAAGGGTGCAGTTTCAAGTCATACGCAGGACCAGGAGCTTCCTGCCACCCCCAGTAGCTCCTCCCTTTCATAGATTTTCATAGACATTCTGGCTGGAAGGGACCCCAAAGGATCATTGAGTCCAGCCCCCCGCCCCAAGAGTTCAAAGTGGGTGCCTGAACTACCTCCAGCAGCAGTCTAGTCCAAACCTTGGGGGCTCAGACAGTAAAGAAGTTCTTCCTTATGTCCAGCCTGAATCAGTCAGTGTACTGAGCAGCAGCTCAGGCAAATGCTGTTCCTTCGGCTTCTGACAGCAGACTACTGCCCCTGTTGTTCAGGGCATAGCCCTTACAGCTGAGTCCTGTTCCCCAATCAGGCAACATTGTCTGATTGAGATAACAGCCAGCTGCGGGCTGCCTGGTTGCTGCTCAGGCCCCTTGTAAGTAACAGAGCATTCTGTGCTCTGTTACATACAGGAATAACAAGAACAGTGGAGAGTGGCACTCTACAAAGACTACCCCAAGTTAAATAGGGTAGATATTTTAACTGATAACTAAAGAATACGATAACAATAGAAGCTGTGGGTAGAAATTCCATGTCTAAATCAGAAAAGTGTACTGACCACCAGATCAGGATGGCAACAGTGAGCTAGAAAGGCTAAGGGAATTGATACAAAAGCATAGAATAATAAAAATGGGAGAGGCAGGGGGAGGCTTGTAGTGACCCAGACTGGTAGGTAGGGGGTGCTAGAGCACATCTCCCAGACTGCCAGCCCAGCCAAGTGTCCCCAGCTGGCTCTCTAGTACATGCTTCCAACCTCCTGCTGTCCCTCTACAGAGGGTTGAGGAAGCCCCCTGTCCAGGTGCTGGCCAATCTCAGGGCAGCCTCCCCCTCTGGGGGTTTCCCCCAGCCTGGGTTCCCCAGCCCAGGCAGCCCTGGAGAGCCAAGAGGAATTTACCCCTCCCCCTTGCTTCAGCAGCTGCCACGGGAGGGAAGAGCTGGGTCCCTGCCCATGCAGCCCAGCAAGGGGGCACCAGGGAGCCCCCACCTTGGGTGGCTTCCACCCCCCCCAGCCATAGGCAACACATAGGAGGCACGCCTGAAGAGGCACGCGTCATTCATGCTCCCAGCCCAGGGTCTCCCAGCCTGAGGCAGCCTCAGGGACTGCCGAACCCCAGAGTTGCTTGCCCTAGCTGCTGCGAGTCTCAGGGACAGCCCGAGGCAGCTTCAGGGAACGCAGGGAACTTCTGGTTCTCTGCAACTCATTTTGCTTCAGACTCACAGCAGCTCTGGCAAAACTGGCTCCAGAAGAGTTGGAGAATTTCCCTCCACTTCCTGAGGGTGCCTGAGACTCTCAGGGGTTTTCGGGAGGGAAGAATTCCCCTCAGCTCCCTGGGGCTGCCTGGGGTTGGGGGACCCTGGGCTGGGGTGGGGGGAAGTCCGCAAGGCAGGGGCTCCTTGGTGCCCTCATGCTGGGCTGCATGGGCAGGCACCCGGCCCAAAGGACTTCTCCCTCCCTCCTGTGCTGGAAAGGGCTGCTGAAGGTCAAAAAGCCCCCACCATAGTGGCTTTCACTCCCCTCCCCTCATGTGCTGTGTAGACCCGGGCTTGGGGAGTCTGGGGGTGTGTTCCCCTGCCCTACCTGCCATCCCTATGGGCTGAGGGACACAGGAAGGAAGCAGGTTAAGAAGCAGAGGGGCATAACGCAGGGTTGCAAAGCAGGGTTGCAGGATCATGAGTTAAAGCAGGGTTGGGGGACTGAGTTAACTCGAACCAGGAAGGGGTCTGGGACAGAAGTTCCATAAACTGGTTTGACCTCAGTCAGTGAAGTCTGATACTGCATCCAACCAGTTTTATCTTAAACCAGTTGGGGCCATTTAGAAAGTGGTTTATGTGCACTGAACATCTGTTTTGTTACAGGTTTAAACCAGTTTCCAATTACTTAAACCAGTTTATGTGCAACTTCTGTCCCTAGCCTATAAATGACTTCTTTCTGGGTCAGCCCTGGAACCTACAAGAACCTTCTTAAAATGTAGTCCTAAATTGTGCACAGGATTTGATACCTAGAATTACAGAAGAGTCACTCTATAATAGTGACCACAATATAAATAGGTCTGACATCTGTGTAGGAGGGGAGAAAATAAAAAATAAAGAAGTCTTTCATAGTAACTTTTGCCTTTAAAAAAGGGGAACTATAAAAAATGAGGAAACTAGTTAGAAAGAGGTTTAAGTGGGGGACCAAAGAAGGCTGAAAGTCTGCAAGCATCATGGGAACTGAAGAACCTCTTATTAGAAACAGAGTAAATGTGTGCCACAAATAAATAATAAAACCGAAAACAAGCCATAAAGAAGCCAGCACGGCTAAATGGCAGAATAAAGGAGGCTATGAAAGGGAACAGCACCGCCCAGCGCCCCCCCCCCCCCCCCCCCCCCCCCAACGGCACGCGCACCAAAAAACTGTTCATTTAAAAGATAGAAGTCAAATGAAGAAAATGAAAAAGCGCATAAAAAAGTCAAATGTAAAACTGTTTTTTACCATTTTGACCATTTGAAGAGAAACTTGCTAGAAACAAGTTATAGTATAA